TTTTTGTCTATTCTTATTTTTTCAATCGTTCTATTTATTCTTCTAGTACAATTTTCTATCACGTCCCGCATTAAAGCTGTCGCGGAAGAGCACTAATTCCTTGAATGTAGAGACATTTTCTATTTACCAGTAATTGATRTTGAATTGTAAAACTTTAGTGAAAATCACTTCATAAGACGTAATAAAAATTTGCAAGACCATTTTTGGTGGAAATTTTCTAATACTTAAAGAATATTGTTAGAATATGTTTACTTGTTGAAATATATTTCTATGTTATTTTACAATTTTTAATTTATTCTCCTTTTTTAATGCATCCTCCTCTTTTTTATAATTTTAATTTCTATTAATTATTCTTTAGAATTTTCGTTTGTGATTTTTATTTCTTTTATTTTTTTTTTTCTGCATTCTCTATTAAATCCCCATTAAAACCGTCGTGGTAAAGCCGGTACAATAACAAATTTATAAATGTGGCAGCATCCTCAACGGAGGAGTGGACTCGCGATTGAATAACTCGTTTTAAAAAATATTTGGCTAAATCTTGAATTTTATATCTGTCCGGAAAACCGCTTTTATAAGATAATAATAATGAAGTGTCAATTACATTGTAATGAAGAATTTGTAAAATTGTTAAGTCGTGTTTCAAATCATGACCAACCAAGATGGTCTCAGCAGATATTATTTTCAATAATTCCTTTTGAACCATTTTAAAAGTCATGGTTGCATTCTTGATATTTTCAATCGTCGATTTGGCCAGGTTAGTCGATTAGGTTTCGTCAATTTTCACCCACGAATAAAAAACTATTTCACCGCGGACATCAATCAACGCTACGTTAGATAAACGTAACTCGCCGTTATCCAAAGTCACCATACTGCAATCTAACCCGTAAATCCCGTAATTACTTTTTTTATCTCGGGACAGTTTTGTTTTTATAAAATCTATATAAATATTTTTATTATTCGGGAACACTCCCCATTTGTGGCTTTTTGTCTTTTTACACCCCACTGTATTAATTCTTTTTTTTGCAACATTGCCAACATGTTTTACTGCCCTTACCTATTAAACCTAAACTGTGGGAGTTACATTGTTCGCTGATATTTATGACCCCGTGCTGGTGTAATTAAAAATCTCTATAACATCTGTTTCACCGGATCTCATAAATATCATCATCTGGTACCTCTATAGTCCAGGTCTTAGGTCTTTCATCAATTAAAAATAAACTGTTTGTATTCTTTACAAGTTTTAGTTTCTCGTCGTTAAACGAATCTAAAATCTGCAATGTGCATACATTTTTTCCGATTTGATGGTTGTCCTTAGTTTTATTGTTTCCTATTACTACCATCAAATGACTCTCAATATGTTTGCTTGATATTATTGATTTTGTATCTATTGGCATGCTAATTATCGATATATTATCATGCTCATCTCTAGTATTTGAAAATGGTTTTGTTTCAAATATTGTTTCCATTCGTCTGATGAAGTAGTTTGACCTACATCTATCTAACGATAGTGTATCCATTGGCATGCTAAATGTTGATAGAATATCGTGCTCATCTCTTGTATTCGAAAATGGTAATAGATATATTATCATTCTGTTCTTTCGTATTTGAATTTGCTTTTGC